TTCTTCTTATTTCTGTGTGTATCATATTATACATGTTTTTGTCTACATGAGATCTACAATTTCATCGATCATCCATTCATTTTTGTTCTTGATTATATTAGATGTTAGTGTTATCTCACATGTGCGTATGAGAGCATCTTTTAACATATGCCATTTCTTGTTCGCATCTTCAGTAGAAATAATTTCTATTTTGGTGAGCTCTGCTTTAATTTTTAGTGTGACGCTCTTTTGTTGATGGGTATCTCAAACGGGATACTTGTAACCTCTCTACTTTAGTTTTAGCCACAAGCTTTTTTAGATTAATTCACAACCTTCCTACAACTGGGTTGTAATCTGATCTCACATCACCTCCGGGATATCTTAAATAGAAAACTCAATTTTTTTACCGCAGTTTCAAATGTTACGTAAAAAACTCTATTCAGTACCTCTGATAATATATTTGCTCTTCTGTGACTATAGCTCAATTCATTACGAATGGACAAAATCAATCCTTACTTTTTTTACATTGAATTCGAACCTGCAATAAAAAATGGAATTTTATAGATTTCAAAGTTGACCCCCGCTTCACTACCAGAGAGTGAAGGGCTATATAATATTATTCGATAGATTACTAAAAAATAAAAAAAACACGTATTTTTTGGTTGTTTATTTAGAAGTGTATTTCTTAAGATATTGAACCATTTCCATAATTTTGTTAGAGTATCAAGATACATCGATTTTTTTCTATTATACCGACATTTATCAACAATTCGACAAAAATGTTAGAAATAATAAATACACCGATTTAGGATTATAGTTAACCCCCGCCCCACTCTCAGCGGTTGAGGCTGGTGAGTTGTATTTGGTTTCATTCGATAGATTCTTGAAAAACATTGAACACTTTTTTATTTAAGATTGTCTATCCGAGGTAAATTTCGCGAAATATTCAACCGTCTCGCTTCTTTTGGCACACCTGGTATATAAGAGAGTATAGGCTTTCATGTCGAGTGATTTTGTAGTTTTTTATTTTTAAGAATGTATCATTTTTGATGCAATCTGTAACAACGCCTTAATTAATAGAACGTAATTAGTTTTACATAATGTGAAATACAAAAAAAACTAATTTTCACTTAGCGAATGTTCACAATATCGCCTCAGACATCTGAGAATATACTAATCATAAATACAAGGCTCTTTACTAGATTCTAATGTTTTTCACTACCGGTAGTGTGACGGACTTAATCGTAAATCTCACTGTTTTTCTAGTTTATTTCGTACATTATAATTTTGGCATATCTTCATAAGAAGTCGTCCAATAAAAAAGGTTATGTCATGTTATTTTCTAAAAGTTGTTTTTTTTGTGGAAGCTGTCTGTTATAAACCAGTCGTACTACACACAGTTGATATTTTGTACATCTTCCATGCTGCTTGTACATGTCTAGTGGATGGGTACCATATGTATTCTTGGTAGTCTCCAAAAAGTTTTTACCACAAAATGGTTGAGTGCTTTAGGTCTTCTGCTATAAAGTCTACAACGTATGTCTTCATGAAACAGTCAAATGGTATTTAGGTATGCCATGACTAGCACATATCCAGTAGGCAAGCCTGTTATGACCCCTGCTGTAAGCTGATTCCTGCTTGTTTTTTGTAGTATTTCAGCCCTATAAGCACATGTCCGCCTAATATACATTTTGTCATGGTTTGATCAGTTATATTTTTTCAATCTCAATTCCGGTTAGTGACCATGACATTAGCTCTTTTATGCCATATATTAACCGATGATCTGGAACCCATACCAGTAGAACACTTATATTCCACCACTCAGTCGAGTTCCTTTTGACATTTACACATTAGCTTAGAGTCCATCACACTGTATGTATATATCTGTGCATCTCTGCCTGAAATACAAAAATAAATTATCTTAATGAAAAATAAATGTTTAAATTTTCACCACTACCGAATATTTCTGCACTTGATCCTTCTTCAGTTTTGGATCTGTCTTTATGCCAGATATAACCCTGCAGTCTGAGTCAAATGATTCCTTTGCCCCATTACTCCCGTGTGCAAGTTTTTACATGAAACTAAATTTCAGTCCTATATTCATTTATAAATCATCATTGATTCGAAATTCCTAATATCATTTATGATTTTATATCCTGATTCACGCGGGACGTTGCTCAGGTTTTCTAGCAGTCTACAATATCCCAATGGTATCTTCTTCCTTAAAATTATATGTAAAGAGGGGTAGTTGAATAAAGTCTCCATAGCTGCCGTTGTTGTGCTCCTTATAGCCTCTGTGATTGCGAGGCTAGAAAGTTTTTGCACCTTACTTAGTTTTGTTGCGAAAAAGCTGAAAAAAGTTGGTAATTAAAAGCTTTTCTTACACAATTCTTAACAAAGACCACGTTGCTCTAGTCAGGAAGCTTTATTAGGATATAGGTGGGAAAAAATTGTTGATTAAAATAGATTGATAAACGATAAATAATAAGTTGATATATCAAAATATACCAGTTTAACAAAGAAAGAGAGTAAATACAGCTAAACTGTAATATAAATTGAGCGCCAATAAGTTTTAACCTGAAACTTATGAAGAAACTCAAGAATAAATAAACTAAACAAACATTTGTCTCAAAAACTGCAGAAAAACACAAAAAACCCACGCCAGAAAACATATCAGCAAATTATCGACAAAAAGCTATAAAAATTGACATAAGTAACCATAAGCTGCAAGAAAAGGTTATATATTCAATAAAATACTTTACAGGAATTATTATATTATCTTCTACAACAAAATTCAAAGAATTTATATCGTCTCTATTCAAAAATCAAATAATACGTCACAAAAAAATATTTATTAAACCTTCAACAACAAAAATAACTTGTGAAAGAATAGACATTGTTTACCAACGCTAAAATTTTTTATTAATAAAAACATGTTAATAGAAAACATAACACACTATTGTAATCAACTGTCAAAAACCTTATACTTTAAAACAGATTGTAGTCATTTATATACTTTAATTAATAGACAATACGGAAATTGTTTGATTAAAACTTTGAACCTCTTAAAAAAATTAAAAAGCACATGAATCTTTGACTAAAAATTATTGGCCATTGTTCCGTTTTATTTAAATTATGGTTACCAAATTATGTATGTTATTAGTAACATATTAAAAAAAAACTAAAAATAAAATCTCTACAAAGAAAATTATAAAAGTTACTGTACCTCACAAAAACATTATGATTCTAAAATAATCACTCCTAAATTCCTAATAGTTTGTTGACCACAGGTCAATACAGGGGGCCCCACAATGACAGGGCCTTAGGCTATATAGGCTAAATAAGATATTTTTACCTGTTGGGCAAAAATATTACTAAGGGTGGTTGGCTCCGACGCGACAACAGGAGCTTGTGTTGTACGTGAATAGTATCGGCAACAACGACTTAATACAAAAATAGTGACATTAACTGACAACTGACAACTAAAATGCGATTTTGGCTTTTTATAAATTAGGCCTAAGTAATTAAATTTTTGGGAAGGGGAGGTGTACTATGTTTCAAAATATTCATTTAGATGAGGAAATAATACGCTTTAGAACGCTTTTAACTAAAAAATCATAAAATTTTAAGAGGGATTAAATATATAATTAGTACTTGAATGAAGCGGTTTAAAAGAAAACGTATTCATCTATGAATTAATATAGCCCCAAAAATAATTTATTACGAAAAATTATTCTTAAAAACAAGGGTCTTTTAAACACTTATGCGTATTCAAACCGATAAAACTTAATAATCTCTATAGACATAGTATTGAAGATACAGCCAGTAATAAAAAAAATTAGCATGCCACAGTATGAGGATGACACCTTTTTACTGCACCTTTGGCCATCATTACCACTGATGGATATATTATTGTTAGTTTTACCATCATGCTACAAATACAATATAACATATTATAACTAAACCATAACGTAGTTACCGCTCTCTTGGTTATTCCTTCTATCTACTGATTCTTAAGTGCCCAATGTGCTGTAGTGAATTTCTTGGAACAGATAATTTTAATTTTTTACTGTTAATTTTTGTACTAAACTTCAAAAAAAAAATAACAATATCAAACAGACATTTAAAGAGTCTATTGGAATGACCTTCACTCTAACGGTGTTAATACATATAGAAATGAGGGAAATAAAAAAAAACGAAATAAGATATAATTTTCGGGCTAGGATTATACAGATCAAACTTGATCGACAATAATATTCGTTTCGTGTTGAGCAAAATGCATCCAGTGAATTATTTTCTATCATTCGTGCATATGAATTTAGATTTTGATTGCTTGGTACGATTTTGTCTGATTTTTTTTATTCAAAATGGGAATTATACATATGGGAAACCAGAATGTGTTCAAAAATGTACGCCAACATAAAAATCGTAAAAAATACAATACAAATAATGATAATGATAAAAATTACATTTTTACATCAGCTTTTCTTATTTTTATAAAATGTTACATGATTCTCTATGATCAATACTCTCTATGATACAATATATATTACAATGTTTTATATCACTTACAAAAAACTAAGAATATGCACTAGTAAATCTTATTACACAAGTGTACTAGAAAATAACAACCTAAAAAATGGATTATTAGAATGGAAAAGAGGATTTTTAAGAACACAATATTTGTGGCTTAGTTAAAATACCAAATAACTACTACCTTATCACCACTTGATTTTACTTTTAAACACTCCTTTTAAATTTTAAATATTAAATAACCCCTCTTTAAACTTGGTGGTATTTAACCAGCCATTTGCTATTTGATGTTTAAGTATTTTGCATTTTTATTATTTTCTATTTTTTACCTTACTGCATGTTTCTGCATGTTTAGATTTATTGATGCTGCATATATACAGGACTTGTTCTATAAATGACAACCTAATAGTTTTATTTTTTTTAACATAGTTCACTTACTATCGATTTAGCTGTAGTAGTATCATAGTTAGATTGTGGAATTTCTACAGGTGATGGAATTTCAGGATATCATCGGAGGCTCACGAAGGCCATCGTGCGATAGTGCCGGGGATCAGGCATTGTTAAGGCCAGGAAGTTTCATTAACCATCATAGAAGAAGTCCCAGTCACAGGCAAGTGCACTTATATTACCACAAATATATACATGACTATAACATAACATGGTATGGTCATCCGTTCCATTACTTTAATTTAAACCTGACTCAAAGTTACAGATTGACAGAATAAATACCAATTTGTAGAATCGTTGTTGCATGATAAAAATAGATAGCCAGAGTGTGACGTCACGGCAGTCGTATTGTTATTGCTACTTTCCAAACAAAAGTTGAAAAGCCAGGGTTTACCCAATCTCAAGACTTTTTAATTCGGATAAAGTTAAAATTTTGCTTCTTTTGCTGCTTTACGTATAATGTTTTTTTATGATAATCATTATTATCACGTAGCGCTACAACCCTGGGTGGGTCTTGGCTAACTGTACAACTTTTTTCCAATTTGTTCGGTCTTCCATCAACCTAGGATCAAATGGAATGTTTATTTTCCGGAGATCTGCTTAGATGTTATCTCGCCATCGCATTCTGGGACGTCCAAGTAATCTTTTGCCTGTGGGAATCTCCTCCCATACCAGTTTTACAAGTCTCTCGTTACGCAGTCTGTGCACGTGGAATGTCCATCTTAGTCGCTGTGATTGCTAAATTCAGTGTTATAGTTCTATGAAATATTGTTTAAAAATGTAAATTAAAGAAATTCTAACCTTACTTTACTGATATTTGCATTCTATTGCTATTTATATAAAACAACATGCTTTATTATTTACACAACATTGTAAAATTGTTGTAGTAACTATAAGAATACTTACACATTGCAAAAAGCGGAAGAATTCTGTAGAAAACTAAAAAAATAACTGAAAAATACAAATTACTCACACTAAACGAGGTTTCTTTGGAAAATGAAACTGACAGATGTCAATAAAAATAAATGCTTCTACGTCATCACTCCGGCAGTCTATTTATGTTATCAAAATATGCTAATATATAATTAACACAATTCTAAATTTACTTAATCTCTCCGGTACACGGGTTGTGACTGTCAGACCTACACCTTTTTGTAGTATCTTTATTCCGTCAGCCAATGTAAGTACGGTTCTGGCAAGTAACGGATCTAAGTACCATTTGACAACAAAACCAACTGTAATTTCTCAGTGATTTATATATAATACAGTAATATTATTGATGGAATATTCGTTTTTGATCTGTCAAACTTAGTTAATTTCTTAATGTAAGTAAAGGGTGTTGTTTTAGAGGTATAGAAATGTAAGTTGGTAACACGTTTTAACGATAGGCCATTTTGACAGCTGTCAAGAGATTTATGTTAAGTTTGGTTAGGCATTTCAGCATAAATAAACTTGACGTCTAATTTATTGCCAATAAATGCTACCATGGCTTAATTAGGCAACTAAGGTCCGATAACGTCGCAGGAAAAACAAAATGCCAAATATACAAAACCTTAATAAGACCGGTACTCACATACAGCTCAGAAACTTGGACACTCACTAAAAGAGAGGAAACGTTGTTAGCCACCTTTGAAAGGAAAATCTTGCGACACATATATAAGGGCAAAAAAGAAAACGGAATTTGGCGAAGAAAATACAACATTGAACTACATAAAATATACCAGGATCCGGATATTATAACATTCATTAAAATAGGACCGCTGCGTTGGATAGGGCATGTAGAAAAAATGGAAGAAGGCGAAATACCAAACAAAATATTCAAACAGATGCCAGTAAGAAAAAGAACAAAAGGAAGACCGAAGCTGAGATACTTACAACAAATAGAAAATGATATAACAACCTTAAAAATAAAAAACTGGAAGAAAAAAGCACGAAACAGATCAGAATGGAGAAGAATCCTGGAACAGGCCAAGACCCAAAAAGGGTTGCCGAGCCAGTGATTATGATGATGAGTATTTCCTATTTAGTATTTACCTGTTAAGTATTCACCTAATTATCTCTTTATTTTTTAGGCAAAACTCTCCGTCATTTCAAAGAAGTCCGTCGCCACGTAGAAGATATCCGCAACATCTTCACCATGACATTGGCTTCTCTGATACAGTTTCTAACGTAGTTGAAATTGTTAAACAAGAACATCAAATGGCCTCGCAAAGGCATCGATTCCCTAGAGGTATGTGTTAGGTTAAGAATCATTTCAGAACTAAAAATACCAAGTATCTACATTTTTTTATAATAATTAAGACCAAATTTAAGTGCACTTTTCATCACTTTTTTGTCTTTGAACATTTACTTCCTGCATCTATAATGGAAATTAACCAAAACTTCAGTTTATTTTGACGTTTAACTTTCGACTTCTAAAATCGATCTCAAAATATAAATTAAACAATTTTTTTGTTATATGGTAATAATACACAAAAATTCTTTTAACAATTTAATATACATATATCTGTTCGGATAGATTTCCCTGGTCAGATAAATAAAAAGCACTAAGTTCTCAGGAAGAACCGCGTGGAGAATTTAATGCTTGACGTTTCGGCACCCATTTTAGAGTCATTTTCAAGATGGACACGGTTCAGTTTAAGTTCGGGGTCTCAATCTGCCTACTCCCCTCACTCGTTACGTACCAGTATCGTGTTCTGTATAAATACAAGAACCTTCAAACGGTACTGAGGTCTCAATCTGCCTACTCCTCAGTGTCGAGTGTCCTTAGTCACTTGCCATTGTCGAGTCAGGTAGTAGTGCTTCTCTGATGCTTGAAGGTAACTTTTCGGATTTTTCTACAAACTCACCTATTATCAAAAAAATAAATGTATTTAATAATTTTACCTCTTACTGTATAACTTATTTAGGCTTACGTTATTTAATATTTTAAACATATTTTTAGAAGCACATCGCAGGCTTTCTCTAATTCCACGATTACTAACTGAATGTATACTTAATTTACTTTGCCGAGTCCAGAATTCCAAAATTTTTGGGCACAAGGTATCTTTAAGTACCTTTTATCTTCAAGATTGCAGATACTAGAGGGCAGTTTGAATAGGTCATATGTTCCATGTCCTGCATTGCACCACAATCGCACTTTTCTATTTTATGTGTAAGACCTCATTTTGTTTATTGTTTTCTCCTGGTGCTACGATGTTTCTTATTCGATTCAGTATTCTTTATAATGGTCACTTGAAGTTTTGACTACCAGATATCTTCTTGGACCAGTGAGTGGTTGGCAAGTGGATCGTCCAAGGCCATACTTAGAATTCTGATAAGGGATTTTAAATCTTATGGATTTGCATTTGGCTTCGAAAGGAGGTGGCATTTATGAATATTGTCTGCTTGATTTATTTTATAAATATCTTAATACGTTTCACCACCAAAATTCAACGCTATTAACAATAAATATATTAGATTTAAAAGTATACTAGAATGGCTAGATAAATGAACCATAGAATTTTTCACTATATCATGGAAAGCTCAGAGTTTAATGCCTGGTGCCAGCTCAAAAATCGAAGTATCTAAAAATATACAAGACCTTATAATAACAGACTTTTAATTATATTAAAATTATAATAAATTATGAACACAGGATCTCCTAATATGAAATATACTCTGGTATTCTGTTTATTCATGAGCCCCTTCCCATATCAGTTGGCCCAACGTTAGATTGATAAGAAAATTAAATTTTAGATAACAAAAATAAAAGCGCATCGTAAATGTTAGAACATAGAATATGTAATATGTAGAAGAATAATATGTAATATTAACAAAAAAATGTGAAAGTTTACCATTAAGTTACATCCCCTTTATTTTTAATGGCATCCATTTATAGCATACATTTAATGTAAACTAATCGCATATTTCTTGCAATTTTTCATTCAATTCGTTGACGGGTCTGGCAGGACGTTTTCTCAAAGCTTTTTTCATTTCGCGCCACAAACTCTCTATCATCATCAATCAGCCAATCGCGTCCACTGCTGGACATAGGCCTCCCTCAGTTCTTTCCAGTGTTCTCTACACTGGGCCGCTTGTAGCCAGTTTCCCGCTACACGTTTAATGTCATCGGTCCATCTAGTCGGTGGTCGTCCTCGGCTTCTTTTATAATTTCTGGGCCTCCATTCCATAATACGTCTTGTCCACCGTCCATCTTGTGTTCTGGCTAAGTGCCCTGCCCAGTTCCACTTAAGCGTCGTGGTTCTTTCGATGACGTCTTGAACTCCTGATCTTCGCCTGATTTGTTGGTTTGTTATGTGGTCTCGAAGGCTCACGTTCAGCATTGCACGTTCCATGGCTCGTTGTGTAACTCTAAGTTTATTCGCAGATTTTTGCGTGAGTGTTAAAGTCTCTGCTCCATAAGTTTGTACAGGTAAAACACATTGGTTATAAACCTTTCGCTTGAGACACATGGGAATTGAACTTTTTAGAATATGGCTTAATTTGCCAAATGCTGCCCATGTTAGACCTATTCGCCTCTGTATTTCATGTGTTTGATTGTCTCTGCTTATTTTGATTTCGTGTCCCAGATATTTGTAAGTGTCTGTTTGTTGTATGGTATTATTGTCAATAGTTATATTTCCACTCATTACGAGATTTGTTATAATTTTAGTTTTCTCAAAGTTTATCTTTAATCCTGCTCTTTCAGACAGACTTTTTAGCGAATGCATCATAGAAACTGTATCATGTAAGTTATCTGCGATTAATACAACATCATCTGCAAACCTTAGGTGATTTAATCTTTTTCCATCTATATTGATGCCCATATTTTGCCATTGAGTACTCTTAAATATTGACTCTAGAGCTGCCGTGAACAATTTTGGTGAAATATTGTCTCCTTGTCTAACTCCTCGACCTAAGCTGAATTTTTCTGTGTCTTCGTGCAGTCGTATACTTGATGTAGCGTTCTGATAGATGTTTTTGATTAGTGTCGTGTACCTGTAATCTATTCGGCTTTGATTTAGGGCTTCCAGTATTGTTTCAAACTCTACAGAATCAAAAGCCTTCTCGTAATCGACAAATGCAAGAACCAGTGGTATGTTGTACTCGATGCACTTTTCTATTAAGATCTTTATGGTATGCAAATGGTCATTTGTGCCATATCCTGCCCTGAAGCCTGCTTGTTCTTTGGGCTGATAGAAATCAAGTTTAGGTGTTAGCCTCTTTGTTAAGATTTTCATAAAGAGTTTGTACATGTGTCAAGAGGCTGATGGGTCTATAATTTTCTAATTTAGTAATATCGCCTTTTTTGTGTAACAAGACTATTACTGCATTGTTCCAGTATTTTGGAATCGTACCCGCATGTAAGCATTTAGTAAACAGTTCGCTTACTGATTTTAATAAAATTTCTCCACCTGCCTTTATTGCCTCGATAACGAGTCCATCATCACCAGGCGATCGATGGTTCTTCATTTCCTTTAAAGCTGCTCTTACTTCTGACACAGTAATGGGTAAAAGTATTTCCGATCCCTGATTTATGAGAGTCTTTACTCGTATCGGGAAATTGTCTTGTGGTCTTTGGCTGGTATAGAGGTCTTTATAAAATTCTCTAGTTATTTTCAGAATGTTTTGTTTATCTGTTGTTGCCTTTCCGTCTTTATCTCTCAGCTTGTATATTTCTTTTTTACTTTGCGTAAGTTTTCTTTTCATTATCTTTAAACCTTTTTTCTCTTCTACTGTTTGAGTAATTACATTAGTATTATATCTTCTTACATCTTTTCTAATTTCCGCTGAAATTCTTTTATTTAGTTTTTTATATTCTTCTTTGTTTCCCTTTTCGTTCTCACTTAGGTTTCGTCGTAATTCCATGAGAGCCCTTGTATCTTTGCTAATCTTTGCACTTTTGGTGTCATTTTTCTTGCAAAATTTGAGTTGTGCGTTTCTAACTGAGTCTGTTATTAATTTATTGTGATCGTCGATACTTAGAGGTTTGGGATTATTACTCTGTAAAGTTTCGGCTATATTTCTTATATATGCTTCTGGATGATTTGGTGAATTCCAAACTATGCGTTTACAACTGTTTATCATCTTTGCTCTTTCTTTTTGTAGATTGATCGTTACTCTAGCTCTTACTGGTCTGTGGTCGCTTCATACTGATAGATTATTGAGTACAGTGGCATCTTGAATAATTTGCTTTTTGTCTGTTATTATATAATCATATTCGCTCTTAGTTCTTCCGTCTGGACTAGCCCACGTCCATTTTCTATTCTGTTTCTTCTTAAAAAAGGTGTTCATTGCATACAGTTTGTGTTGCAGTAGAAAGTTGGTAAGCATTTCGCCTCTTTCGTTTCTTACTCCGATTCCAAAATCTCCGATTGCCACTTCTTGTTCGTCTTTTTTCCTTCCGAGTTTCCCGTTAAAATCTCCCATTATCAGATTGTAATGAGCCGGTTCCTGCTTTTTTGCTCTTTCGATTTCCTCATAGAAGGCTTCGACAATTTCATCTTCGTAATCGCTGGTGGGGGCGTATACTTGGATTATTTTCAGATTGTATCTCTTATTTAGTCTTAGATTTATATACATAACTCTTGGGGAAATGCAGTCAATGCTTTGTATATTTTTCTGTAATTTTTTGTGTACTAATAAACCTATTCCTCCAGTTGGCGATTCCGTTTCCCCTTTATAGTGGAATATGTTTCCTGATTTTAGTTTGACCTGATCTTCACCTCTTCTTTTGACTTCGCTAATTCCTATAATATCCCATTTCACATGTTTGAGTTCTTCCTCCAGTTCTGTCATTTTTTCATCCTTAGATAAAGTTCTTACATTATACGTAATTATGTGCAACGTTCGTCGTTCTTGGTAGCCTCTTACATCCCGGGGATTCTTCGCACCCTCTACCCGCTGTCCGTGAGTCCTACCGCTACCTTGGTCGGGAACTAGCGAGCTGCCGGGGAATGTCTGTTCATGCTGAGGGGGTTTTGGCATTTAAACACCACGCTTGCCAGGCGGGTTGGTGAGACTCTCTATCGGGGACAAGTAAAGACTGTTCGAAACCCATTATAGAACTGGTATACTATAGTCTTCAATCATTTTGTTGAAAGAAAAAATCTTCCGCTGATGTTAAACAATGTTCCATAATCGGTAAAAGAGATTCTTCTAAAATATTCAAATATTTGTCTGTGTCTACAACCTTATCGATAAAATGTAACTTTTCCACAGCTTTAGACGACATGCTGCTTCAGATCA